TAGCTTCAGAAATGCATTGTTTTTGCAATTGCAATTGTAACTGCTATGGAAACAGAAGCAAACAAAAACAGTAAAATGAGACACACTTTTAATCGTGTAAAACATTACACATTTTTAACATTTCAAATATGCATTGAATGTTCTTAAATGAGACATGAGTTTGCACGCTCCCCATGTATTTTATGATTAGCTAAATCATGACAAATTTCAACTTGAGTATGGTTTTAAATAGTAAACCTCCATGTCATACACTTAACTTATAGCAAAATGTTAGAACCTGCATATTTATACATTTTTCTACAAATCGAGAATCCCACAATCTTGACTGCATTCCCATTTATCAAAATAATATGTAGTATATGACTTTTAAAATGACTTTTTAAAGGTCACAGCTAAAGAAAATGAGTTTCAAGCTTAAGCAGGACATTGAGTGTGAACAAACAGGAAGGAGCCTGTCCCATCTGTCAGATTAGCATCTCTGAAGTGTGTCAACACCTTCAAGGAGGATTTCCAGCCACAAGTAGCTTGTGATTATCCCATTACAGGCACTAAAAGGCCCTGACAAGCTGTTAACACCATGGCTGTTTGCATCCTATCTTAATGCTTCAATCCTGCCTGATTGGATTCACACCTTCTACGCAATAGCAAAGCCATGTTGAAGGACCAGAGCCAAACCAAAGCATGAACATTGCATCTGTTCCCCTTGACTGAAGTAATGTCCTCTAGAACACACACACACACACCATCCACAATCCTTCACTTGAAGAAAGAATATTTTTTATATATTATTATAAAATTGATATATTTTGCCATTAAAATGAATGAGCAAACAACAAGAATTATTTGACGGAACCAAAAGCATGTTTCTAAAATAAAAATGGCTCCTCTTTAACCCAGGAACGTTGACCTAGACGTTTATTGTATGGTCCCTCTTCACTGGTTTGCCAGTGATTATTTTCCAAATAATGTTATATATATATCAATTTAACATAACTTATCTAATCATTGGGAGATTATTAAACAATTATAGGTGATTCTTGAGGACAAGCTGCAAACTTACTTGCCAAAATCTGAATGCCACTGTAAAAATTATTTTTTCGAAGATTATTGGAGCACAAGAATACTATTTCAGTCTTCCTAGATCAAAAATTCATGTTTAATTCAATGTGTTACTTGCCATTTCATTTTGATTAATTGTGAAATTTACTGGCAATTTCTGAGTGAAAACTGTATACACAAAAAAAAAAAAAAAAATCAGTTATAACATTTACCGTAGATACAAATTTTATGACAGCTATATATTTTTCTGAATTGCTCTGTTGAATATTGGGATCTACATATAAAAAAGGCAAACTCATTTTAAGGCATTTAGGTCATTGTTAGTAGATGTTGAAACATTCTTTTTAGGTTTAGGCTTGGATGCATCCAAAACCATTAATTTTTTTATTTTTTATCATGATTATGAAAGTCTCGGTTCCATAATTTATTCACACTGTCCCCCAAAATACCCCTTATACCACACCTGTAATATGCTGAAAAGAACGATTTTTGTTTTATACCAAACTTAACATACACTACCTTTCAAAAGATTCTTTAATATTTTGAAATGAAATTCTTATGTTCATCATGGCTGCATTTATTTGATCAAAACAATTTAAAATAACGGTTTTCTACATCCATATATTTTCAAATGAATTTATTCCTGTCATGTCAAAGCTGACTTTTCAGCATCATTACTCCAGTCTTCAGTGTCGCATGATCCTTCAAAAATCATTCTAATATACTGATTTGGATCTAAAGTAAGATTTCCTATTATTATCAATGTCGAAAACAGTTGTGCTGCTTAATATTTATTTAAAATTGATTTGTTTTGTAACAATGTAAATGTCTTTACTTTCACTTTTGATTAATGTGAACTAGCTGAATAAACGTATTAATTTTTTTTTTAAACTGACTCCAAACTATTGAACGGTGGTGTATATTGAAAGCTTTTTCACCTTGATGTAAATGAGATTGGGAATGAGCTTAGCAGAACCGTAAGAAAAGGATAGTTAGGCGTGAAGGGAGTGGGAGGTTAGAGGCGTGAAGAGAATGTAAAAAGTCACACGTCACTTAATAAGGATTAGCCTCTAAACAGTGTGTTTGGCATCTTAGTGCCAAAGGGCTTATCACAGATCCGGCACTGGCTTGAAAAGAGACTGTGGAAGGAAGCCACCATCATGAACAGGAAGTTTTCCTGGCCACTAGACTCAAACCAGGTCAGCGTCTATAGCAAGATATGCAATTACCCTAATGGCCCAGTTGAATGTGCAGACCTTACATCATGTGCCTGTTTGATGATGAAACTGTAAACTGACACATACACATATTATAAATGGATATTTCAGCCAAAAATGAAAATTCATCTTTTATTTACCCTCGTGCTGTCACAAACCTGCTTCACGGAAGAAAGTAAGTCATACAGGTTTGGAACGACATGAGGTGAGGTCATTTTTGGGTCAACTGTTCCTTTAACAGTGTAGCAAAGAAACTTTGTTCAAATGTATTTTGAAATACTGCTACATAAACATACACTGAGAAAATCAACATTGCATCGGTGTATAAACCTTCCTATATATTATTTACAGTGGTCTCAAAAAGTATTTGGATATTTCAATCACATGCACATGCATCAATATGAATGTCATTACATTTGATAAAATATCAAAGTAGGTGACATTTATTTAAAAGAAAGATAGTAAAAGTTTGTTAGGTTTGAAATGATAAAACATTATCAAAATGTAGAAAAATCTATATTTTGGCAGAAGCCTCTTGGATTGATGTTTTGTTATCTACTATATATTTTTTAACTATGTCTTAAGTGTCCAAATACTTTTTAGGGTCACTGTATCTATATTTTGCACAAAACCACAATGTTAAAAAAAATACTGTTGATTTAACTTAAAGTCCCTGTAAAGTCAAAATTAAGTATGTGTTTTGAGTTTGTCACACCACAGAAAAATTAGTTATTAGTCACCCAGCCAAATTTGAATGATAAAAAAAGCCAGCAAGTACATAAAATAAGCTATCAAAATCTTGAAGAAATGAGCAGTATTCTCTGCTCTCAAACGCTGGAGGCGTGTCCACTGGCTGCGCTGAAACCACGCCCACTCGCGGGAAAGCTGCCGTCGACTCGCCACACTCAACTCTACAGCCGGAATGGATGCTCGCACGGTGGGCAGTGGGCACGCACTGCCGATGACACCAGTTGTCGGCGCGACGGGAGGATGAAGGCCAGGCGGGAGTCGGTTCGGCCCATTCACCAGTAACAGCGGATTATCAGTGAATCCCAGACAGTTATCTCCGACGAAAGTTTATAAAACTATCCCGTGTAAAATGATCACTTACAGAGGCGGGTGTTGGCGGTGATCCTCAGCTCTCCATCAAGGTGGCTCTTCACAAAATTAATCCACTTCTTCTTGATGTAATCGTTTTTCGGAAATTTAAATAAGGACACCGATCTGTTTTGTACGTGATCCGGTGATCGCATCCAGGTAGTAGGCCTACGCATTTCCGTGACGAAGGCATAGCTAGCTAGCAATCTGTAGGCTGTGTTACTAATAATAGTACTGACAGTAACTCGCGATTGAGCGGCAAACTGATGTGAATGTGCTCTATATTGTTAGGAGCGGCCAGCCTCAGCGGCTACAGTGCGTCATCAAGTAGGGGCGTGTCCAGGAGCTCAAGGGCTCCAGTGCGTCATCGAGCCCTGTTTTAGCCCCGCCCAGAAAATCCGGAAAATAGCAATGGTGAAAAACTGTTTAACGGTCTAACTCCACAAATCAGTACCTCACAGTTCACAGTCTTTGTAATATGTTTTAGCAACACATTTCTAACATTTATAATGTGTTTAGAATTTTTTTTTGAAATTGCCTTTACAGGGACTTTAAAAAAAGTAAGTTACCTGGTTGCCTTAAAACTTGGTTCATTAAAGTTAGACATTTGAGTTAATACAATGAGGGAGTTATATTAAAATATTATGTTATCCGAATCACATTAATTGTCTAAGTTGATTGGACAAAAGATAAAAAGTTTTGTGGAAACCATGATAAAAAATTATGATTCTTTGATAAACAAAAAGAACTGCATTTATTTGAAATAGACCATTTGTTTTAACAATTTAAGTCTTTCCTGTCAATTTTGAACAATTTATTGCATACTTGCTGAATAAAAGTATTAATTTCTTCAAAAAACAAACAAACAAAACAAAACATCAAACCTTTGAATGTGTACAACTGCAAATATACTAACAATTCTATTTCATATTGCCTTAGGCTAGGAAAAAACATTGAATTCCTCTAAAAAATAAATGAACTTAGACTTGACAAGAGAATTAGCAACAAATAATGGGTTTATGCCATTGCACATTTTAGCAGACACATCTTGTCTAATATTAATTGCAAATATAAAAATGTATACAATATATTAAGCAATGCAGTGTACCTGTCCCTTGTATTTGCAGGGACCAAATGTAACAGTCAATCCTTTAAAGCTCAAATTGTTTAACCACTAATCTGAATATTGGTGTCTATGTTGGTTGCAGACCTGGGTCTACTAGTGTCCAGTAGATGGAGCTATCCAACAAAGCCCTGCATAGCAAGAGGTTATAGTAATGCACTTGTATGAAGACAGAAATATATTTCTAATGTCCAGCAGGTGGCGCATTCATTTATACATGGACAAGTTTTCTTAATTCTTTATATTTCTTAGTTTTAACGTCAAGTGCTCAAAATGTCAGTGTTAACTGCATATTTATTATGGCGCAGGAAAATTCTTTCCAGTCCATAAATAAAATGTCTGGTTAGCCAGCAGATGGCGATCTTGCATATTTTTCTTGGAAAGTGTATCAGAATCTTTTGTCCAACCGAACCATAACAGAAGAAATAATCACATAAAAGTAAAAAATTATATAATTGGAAAAATTTAATCTTGTAAAAAAAAAAAAAGTGAGCACACAGAAATAGCAATTTTGTACAATTGTATACTCTAACTTTTCATTTTCACATTTTATACATTTTTGTTTTACATGTCAGACAAACACACTCCACTATTAAAGGGGAATCTGAAAGCGCATGGTTGCCAATCCGCGGAATTCGGCTACTTTTAAACTTTTAAAGGTTTTACATATTTTGTCATTTATTTTTGACTGAAATGCTTGTATTGCAATATTTGATATGCTACCAATGATAATACTGTAGGCTACTAGATGTTAAGTTATGTGAAGGAGGGACACTAGTAGGGAGCTTTTGAGCTGTGTGTTTATGATCACTACGAAGTAGTAGTGGTTTTCAATTTGCATAATAGTGACTGTAAAATATGTATTTTAGGTAAGGGAGAGGCACATTTTGAGTTTTGATGTTTGGGATATGGTCATAGGGTAACTTTTGGCTATTTTTGATTGGCCATTGGGCTGGTTTTGTTATGCAGACCTGGCAATCCTGGCCTTCAAAGACCCTTTTTGAGGTAACACTTAAAAGCATTTATAAAAAGCAAACAAGCCTTGTCCTTGTCCAGTCTTGCTTGAACTGTATGATAAATAATAATAAAAAAATGCTTTGATAAACATTACTACTTAACCATCATGATGTTCAGTACAGCGCCACTTAAATGACAATGGGTAAAAAATGTTTGTCAGAGGCCTAAAACAAGGCAGAAATGGTGAACAGTCAGACAATGTCTCTGAGAGGTAATGAGTTGGGTGTGTGAACAGTTCGTAAAGTCAATAGGTCTGTGAAGGTCTCAAAAGTAACTGTGTTTTGCTTCAGTTTTGGACGTTTAGGATCTGGCAGGTCTTCAGCAGCAGTACACAAGACTTTTACTCTCTGATTTGAAAAATGTAAAAAACAAACAAACAAAAAAAACATTATGCACAGTGTTAATTATTTTGATAATATATTATAAAAATTAAGATTAAATATATATTTATACAGTATATAATAATAATAATAATTGATTGACTGCCAACCTCAGTGAAATAATGCAATTGATGCTGAACTGTCTTTACCTGCCGCATAGACCCTGGAGTGGTACCAACCAAATAAATCATCCACAGTGGAACAAGTAGGGTGGAGGAAAGGGTGAAGAAGCCACCAATCGCATAGCCCCACCAGGGGTATTCATACACATTGTTGAACTTCAGAGGGGTGTATTTAACCAATGAGAAGATAAACGTTCCCTAAATAGAAAAGAAAGTGAATGCTGAGCAGTGGGAACCCGTCAGTCAGTCTGATATGCTTTGTCACATTGAGTCAATGCACAAACTTCTCAGAATAGGAGAAGGTCTTTCTTGTGTTTTGAAGTGCTATCGGTTTAAAGACAGACACAGATGACAGGTGTCAGACACAGACTCACAGGTGGCTAACCTTCACGTACTGCTCTGAGAGCAGTTTGTTGATGCAATGTGGAAATACAGAATGAAGCATATTCTGATTTTAAAAAGCCTTAGAAAAAGATTTCAAGGGATTTAAATGATACTCACTGTGCAAATAGCTGGTGTTAGATATCTCCAGCAGCACTTCATGAAGGGCCAAGGCCGATATCCAATCATATCCTCAATGCTATCATAGAGACGGTCTGCACCTAAAATGAAATTCCAAAAAATTGTAAAACTCAGAAACACACTATAAATCATTTTATCACGTTACTTTATTTTGTTACTTTGCTTTTAATTGGCTAAGAATTTAATATACTTTTGACTTGGATTAATTACACATCTAAGAAGTTGTTCTCTAAATATTTCAACAGAGGTCGCCAGAGTTGCAAATGCAAACATGCACCATGCTTCCAGCATTTAAACAGCAAACTTTGCAAGTCAAATAATTGAATTTACCATATACCCATCCAACACAGATGGACTGAAGGATGGCAAAAGTAAGAAGAGTCATTCCACTACATGCGTAATAGTCAAAAAGCTGGAAGACATACAGGCCACCCTAAGAGTAAAACATAAAATTATTGCAGGTACTGCAGGTGTGGGTTTTGTTTTTGTGGTTGCCAATCATCTTTGTGTTCTTATGTGGGAGACTCACCTCTGTTACCATCAGCAGACCAAAAAGGAAGCTGGCAGCACATATGAAGAGGAGAAGAAATTTACGCCGATGTCCAATTTGGAAGAAGGAGGGATACATATCCGAGATAGCCGTTACCAGGGCTTCATGATACACAAACTGATACATTAATAGAAAAAGCTTTAGGGTATCCATTCTATGGGGTAATGAATTAAATAGAGAAAGATTAGTCTGTATAGCTGCCTGTATTTACCTCACTATCCAGTCCCAAGAATATGATCATGATAAAGAAGAAGATTGCCCATAACTGAGGCAGGGGCATTAAAGCCACAGCACGGGGATAAGCAATGAACGCCAATCCAGGACCTGCCACAAACAAAAGTTATCAGACAAATCCTTCCCCTCTTTGAAAACTCTTGACACACACAACCCAATTGCACATAATGTGAGTGTTTAATAATGCAAAAAAAAAAAAAAAAAAATCGGTTTCAGTATAGTCACCAAGACCAAAAAGTATTGCTTCATGTACTTTTAGAAACCTTCCAAATGACAAATTTTTGCTGTTAATAAATCCACAGCTCTGACATAACATGATTCTTCTGTTGCTGTATGCTTATTTTTATGCTGTAATAATCTTCACCTGCTTTATGAGAACTCAAGCCTTAAATATGACTTTTACCTGACTCTGCCACCATTGAAATATCCATTCCCTGTTCATCTGCCATGAAGCCCAGGACCGAAAATATAGCTAAACCAGCCACAAAACTAGTTAAGCTATTGAGCAGACATAAGTATATACAGTCTCTGAAAGACAAATAGCAAAAGACAACATGCGTTGTTAGTGAAATTTGGAATGAAAGGCATGAAAGAAAACAGACTCATGTCACAATGTACTTCTGATGTGGAGAGTGTTGCATTAGATCATCTAAAGTAGGTACCTATAGCAGTTGTTGTCATATTTGTTGTAGCTTCCCAAAGCAGTCAGTACTCCTGTACAAACTCCATATGAGTAAAATATCTGACTGCCTGCATCCATCCACACCTAAAACATCAATTATTATTTTAAAATCCAGTAATTAAAATATCACCAACACATCAACTTTGGGTTTCAACATTACAACATTTCTGGGCAAAAGAAAGCAGCTCAGTGCCTGCGGGTCTGTGAGACGTGTTGGATCAGGGTAGAGGTAGTATATGATGCCATTCTTCGCTCCAGGAAGAGTAAGTCCACGGACCAGCAGCACTACCAACATTAAATAGGGAAAAGTAGCAGTGAAGTATACCACCTGAAAACCGGAAGAGAAAGACTGTTTCAGCGTGGTGCTTGCAACACCATGATCATGAGTTTGATTCCCATAGCGCACACATAACTGTATACCTCGAATAAAAAAATACATAATTCGATGTAGAATTAAGAAGATGTAGGTTTAACCACATGAAGACTTTTTTTAAACTAAATTTTTTCACTTTTTAACTTTAAAATAAATAAAAAATATTTAAAATGTTTTTTTTTATAAATTCATTACATGTATTTATTTATTTATTTTTAGTTTACTTTTAAAATAAAATAAAACATTTTTTATTCTTTTAAAATATTTAAAACAAAACTTTTTCAATTTATTTATTTATAATATTCATATCAATATTATATATTAATTTATATAAATCCATTAAAGGTATTTATTTATTTGGAAAGTTTACCTTTGAAATAAAATAAATGTTTATTTTTTAATACATTTTACAATACAGAATTATTTTAATTTTATTGCATATTAGTTCTATATTTAGTCAACGGATGCAAACTTGATGTGTGAGTAATTTGAAAGTCACTGTAAAATTGTTTAATTTATATCTGCTTAAAGTTTTTTTTTAATTATTATTACATTAGTGTACGGGCTAAAACGACAAACATGGGGTTAAATAAAACTTTATGCACATTCCACTTTCCCCCTCATGGGTAAATATATCTTGCCACTCATTTTGTGTTACATTGTTAAAAAGTTTAGTAAAGTTCTCACCTTGCCTGTGGACTTCACTCCCTTCCACACACAGAAGTAGCAGATGATCCAGGCCAACAGGAGACAGAGCGCCAAGTCCCATCTCACATTACCAATCTGTTCTATTCCCTCAGACAATCCCAAAATTCTTCTCCTGTAGGCATAAAATATGGGATCATTCTGTTTTACAACCTTTATTGTGATTCATTTTCATTAGCTGGATTCATTTTGTTATCATGTGTTGCCTTAAATGCAAAATTCTACTTAACACAATCTGGTTTTAATGAGGTGCTATTTCCAACAACTTACTCCCAAAACTCAATAACAGGGGATGTGCTTGTCTCTGGAGAATATTCAGTAATGTTGCTCTTGCTGAACTCTTTGCAGTTCTCTAAATAAAGAAAGGCAGTGTTTATTTAAATGACATAACCCAGTATTATAATAATTCACACTGTTCTGTATGGAATACCTGTGTTCCAGTAGTTTTTGCAGCTAGCCCATGGCAGCTCTGAACTGAAGGACGAGAAGAGGTAAAGGAAAGCCCAAGCTAGAATTATGATGTAATAGACTCCAGTATAGAGGACAACGACTTGGCTACCATAACCGAGGCCTGTGGGGGAAATGCAAGTGAAGTAAAAAGCAGTAATACAATGATATTGAAAAGTCACTGTATATGAGATCATTGCTCACCTTCAAACAGTGGACAGATCTTCCTCCAGCACGTGATTCCACCCTGACTGGTGAACTGACCCAGTGACGTCTCCAAAAAGAAAAGAGGAATCCCACAGGTGAAGAGAAACAGCACATAAGGCACAAAAAATGCCCCTATATGACAGAATGAACACTTATCAACACACAGTATACACATCAATAATGTGCTTATACACACCAATGTACTGAAAAGATTTTACTTAGTCGGTTTTAACTCACCCTTATAAAGATAATAAAAAGGGTTTAATAAAATGAAATGATCTAAAATGGTGGTCCACAAATTAATGTTCGACTTCTAAGTAATTTATATGACAAATTACCAACATGTGTTAAACTAAAATACAATATTAAATTAACTTTAACCAATACTAAAGCAATCATGCAAGTAATAATCAATAATGATTTTAATAATTCAAATATTTAAGCATTTAAGCATGAAGTGCTCACCAAGGCTGCATTTATTTGATCAAAGATAAATAAAAACAGTAATACTGTGAAACATTGGTACAATTTAAAATATCTGTTTTCTATTTTAATGTTTTTTATATACTTTATTCCTGTAATGGCAAAGCTGAATTTTCAGCATCATTACTCCAGTCTTCAGTGTCGCATGATCCTGCAGAATCAATGATTATTTGGTGCTCAATAAACATTATTTATATCAATGATGAAAATAGTTGTGCTGCTTAATATTTTTGTGGAAACCGTGATTATTTATTCTTTAAATAAAGAACAGCATTTATTTGAAACAGAAATAAACACTTTTAGTCCAATAAAAGCATCCTTGCTGAATAAAAGTATTCATTTCTTTCTCCAAAAAAAAACTTGACCCCAAACTTTAGAGGAATAGTGTACATTAATGAGTTACTCAAAACCATATTTTAAGCCAGAATTAAAATGCATCCCATAAACGTTTTGTTATAATACAAAACAAAACTCACTTGTGCATGTATTCATACCACTGTTTGTGTGGTTATTTTTATGCCAATAACACAGAATAACACAGAGATTTCTGTATCTGAGACTTTTTTTTTAAGATTTTTTTTTATGTTATATTAAGTAGCCTACATATGATAACTAAAAAAAAATGTAAACACCAAAAAACAGGATTAAATTTCAACATTGCCCTCACCTCCCCCATTCTTGTAGCACAAGTACGGAAACCTCCACACATTTCCCAGGCCAATGATGTGCCCTGCTACTGCCAATAGAAACTCCAGCTTATTGGCCCACTGCTCTCTCTCCTGGGTTTTAGGTCTGGCCTGCACTAGGGCACCATTCATGAGGTTCAACTTCACCTCTGGCCTTGAGCTATGCTCCATGATGCTAATGATGGGATGAAAAAACAAAACACACAAAAAATAAATACATTTACAATATGTACAATTCTAACCCTATTTTCGTCTACAGTTGCCTACATTTGTAATATACAAATACATATTTTTATTATACTACATCATTGATTTTTACTACACGCCTTAAGCACAAGATATATTTAATTAATAAGATGCATAATTAATACCGCATTACTTCCACAAATGTAGAGTAGTTGTTATGAAACATATTTCTGGCGTTATGAACCATATTTCTGGCATTATGAAGAATGGGGCCCATATGTGTTTAGGGTATATGTGGCCTCATCTGTTGGAAATGATAGTATCAATGGGCTCTGCAAACAACTGCACGTGTTTCTTTCACGTGCTTTTACCTCTTACAAAAACTAATGATAGACCAGTCATTGACTATTGGAACATACGTCCACATTGGTATACTATACTATACATACAGTATATACAGTACATAATATAATTTTACTGGTAACACTATACAATAAGGATCATTAGTTAACATCAGTTAATCTCAGTGCATGAACTAAGAATGACCAATACTTCTACAGCATTTATTTATCTTAGTTAATATTAATTTCAACATTTACTAATACTTTATTAAAATCAAATGATGTAGGCCTATTTGTTAACATTAGTTAATGCACTGTGAACTAACATGAACAAACAATGAACAGCTGTATTTGTATTAACTTACATTAACAAAGATTAATACGGTAACAAATGTACTGCTCATTAGTTCATGTTACTAATGTAAACTAATGAACCTTATTGTTAAGTGTTACAATTGTAGCCTATATGCATACTGTATGCCTATAATTATTATGCAATGTTTTGTTTTGTGTTTCCTCTTTAATATACTCACCAGCCTTAGAATTATGCATACCTTGCTAATCCAATTGCAGAAAATTGAATTTAAGTCGGTTATTAAAGGTAAATTAGTATGCTCAAGCTTTTTTATTTCATACATAAATACAGCCCTCATATTGCCATTGCCAGAGGCATCCAAGATCATTTCAACATCTCACCACAAACAGCTTAAAAACAAAAAACAGGTTTTTTTAGACACCCACAGTAAAAGTATTTTTATACCTAAGGTTTGGTCACCCTCACATGCGTATATTATGAAGATATTCAGCTCAGCCCTAAATAAGATTGCATAACAATTGATTCTTATATGCTTAAAAAAATAATTGTATAAAAATGCATAAGAAAGGTGCTTACCTGTTGTGGGCATGGTTTTGCTTAGAACATACAGCCGACACCATGCCAGAATCTTTTTTTTTTTTTTTTTACTACAGCACTGCTGCTGTGTTTTACAACAATAAAGTGTAATGTAATAATGCAAAAAAATAGTAATCAGAATACCTGTGAATCGTGACGAATCCGTTTTGTATGTCCCCTTAATGCAGTGCTTGTATCTAGGTTAGCAGTTCAAAATAATGTCCTCAAAGAGAATGACTGAGGAGTGGCCAAACCTGCTTCATGAGCTCCTGAACAAGGACTGCTGACCAGGTTTATTATTCTCTGCTTTACAAGTAAATACAACCATACCAACATGTGTGTGTCCCCTGGCCTGTTTAATGGTATGTTTTCTTAGAGATAAAACAGAAATGTCTTATCAGTGGAGTAACTGGCATCCAATTGGTTTCTTTCTCTCCCCCAACTCTGGCTTTTTCTAGATCTTTCTCCATCTTTAAGCCTGTCTGACAATATAGCAATAGCTTCCTGAAAAAATACATTCTACTTTCAGCAGTTCTCCCTCAAGCTGAATTAGTAGTAACTGGACACCTTTCCGTCTGCATTGTCAAAAGCATTCAGAAAGGAAAGAATGCTGAAATACCTGAATCAAATGTGTTCTGTATGTGCTCCATTAAGAAATCAGTAATTGCTGCACATTTCATGGCAAATGCCATTCTCCCATCAGTCCTGCAGGATAGGCCTATAAAACTTGGTGGGAGGTGGAACATGGAAGAGTATCAATTCTGAAACTGATCACATTCTTATAGTTTTTCTTTCATTTCAGGAGAGACAACTGCTGGAGACAACTGCTGGTTAATATCTGGCATTATTTAGCCTATTTCAGTAGACTATCACTCAGTACTTTCAAAACATTGTAGCCGTAGACGGGTTGTGGAAACGCCATTAAAGCTCAACAGTGTCCTCTTGTGGTGTCCTCTGAGATCTGCCTTTGTCTATCGAAACTAGTCTCTATATATGTGTTTGACTTTTTAGCATCACTTTAAATGTAAATTTTGTGTTACATTTTTCAATCGTTTATTCAGCGTGGCTCTATTTTGATTGAGAGAGAGCATTAATAGGCCATACCAGGCATAAAATACCACGCTGCTTTCTATTTCAACTAGGCCTACGGTCGTAATAACAAGCATTTATAATGCTGTCTCTTGTTTGCAGAAGATTTCTACATAAATAGCTAAACTTAATGATTTAAATAAAATTGTGGGGAAAAAATCCCGAACTCGGCAGTAGATCTGGCAGTAGATGGTAACCAGCGTCATGCGATATTTGAGCGAATTTATATAGCAATAATCCGATCAGTGTTTGATTATGGATGTACAGTAGGCTATATACAACAGCAGCTAAAACTACATTGGCTGAATTGGACAGGCTGCAGGCCAAAGCTCTCCGGCTGTGTAGTGGAGCTTTCCGAACATCACCTATCTTAGCCCTGCAGGTGGAAGTAGGGGAAATGCCTTTAGATCTTAGGAGGTTAAAGCTCTCTCTAGCATACTGGGTAAACTTACAAGAGCATGAGAATATACATCCTACAAAATTGGTGTTAGAGGAATGCTGGGAATATGGTCGCATTGTGGAAAATAGTTTTGGATGGAGTAGTAAAAAAGAGGCAGATGAAATGGGAATCAGTTATCCTGCAGCAAAACTATTAACTTGAGCATAAATCCACCTTGGTTCCCTTTCGAACGGTCACTTCGTATTGCGTAGCTATACGCAGTGGGGAAACTCCTTTTCCTCGATTTACTGAAGCCTATGTAAAACGCATTTGCAGCTGCACAGCTAGCACACTGAGCGTCTGAAACGCTCATAGGCTGTGCTGCAGCAACTGCACATCCAATGGCGCGGGCGACTCTGACGCGCGACCAATGAGCTAGCCCAACGTCAGTGCCCGCCAAGGGGGCGTGGCCCAGCCTATATAGACCCCCGAATTCGCCATTATAGCAGATTTTTACTCCTTCAGCGACAGTACACATGTCCCTGAGCTTCTACTGACTATTCGCCGTCGAACAAGCCTTTCAGCCTGAGCGTGCTTCTCTTCAGCAGACTTCGCCTGCACGTCGATTGTCTCCTGACGCCGTCTCACCTGTGGCTATCCGGCGACAGCCTATATCCTTTTAAGCAATTGTGATTATTTTCAGATGCCTCGTTCATCCTGCGCCACGTGCGGAGGCCGTCTGCACGAGGCAGACCACTACTCGAGCTGCATTTCCTGCCTGGGGATCGACCACGTGGAAAATGCACTCTCTGCCGGCGGATGTGTGGCCTGCGAAAGCATGCCTATCTCCGTGTTGCGCAATCGGCTAGCTCTCTCCCGAGACGGCGATGCCGCTTCAACCACGCTTTCTGTTCCAAGGAAGAAGAAGCGTCGCAGCCAACGGCAACCGGAGGGTATGGAAGCTAGTGAATGCACGCCGGCCGCGTCTCCGCGTGCTTCTCTTTCTCCTACTCACACGCCATCACCGGTCCTGTTCGTAGGAGACCATCGGAAGGAACATGGCGAATTTGGTCATGCTCGAGCGCCATCTTTGGCTCAACCTCACCGAGATCAAAGAAGCCGACAGGACTAGATTCCTCGACGCCCCGGTTTCCAGCTCCGGTCTCTTCAGCCCGGCGGTGAAAGGATTCTCGGAGAGGTACACAGAGGCACAGAAAGCGTCCCAGGCTATGCGACACTTCTTGCCGAAACGCTCGAGCTCCTCGACCAGCAAGCCCAAACCACCGCCTTAGCCTCATCCAGCCAAACCGGTAAAATGCCTGGGGCTCACAATCATGATTTCCATTCAATGTTCAATCAATGTTACCAAGAGCAAACTGCCCCCCAGCCAGACTGTAATCTTTCTGGGCACGGTTTTAGACTCGGTGACAATGAAAGCGCGGCTCACTCAAGAGCGCGCGCTCTCTGTACAGACACTGGCAGCTGTGTTCAGGGCGCGCGAGCGCGCGCCTCTGAAGAAATTTCAGAAACTACTTGGTCTAATGGCAGCTGCATCATCAGTACTCCGCTTGGGATTACTGCGCATGCGCCCGCTGCAGCACTGTGTGCCAACCCATGCATGGCAGTCAGGCAGCCTGCGCATTATGGTGAATCACGGGTGTTTAAGAACACTGATTCCCTGGGGGGCTCAGGACTGGTACCACAATGGGGTGACCATGGGGGTAGTTTCCAGAAGGAAGGTGGTTTTTACAGATGCGTCCAACCTGGGTTGGGGAGCGCTGCACGAGGGCAAGCCTGCCTCCGGCCTCTGGTCGAGCACGGAGCAGAGCTTACATATCAACTGTCTGGAAATGAAAGCAGTTGGTTTGGCCCTGGAAGCTTTTCTGTCAAACCTCAGGGGTCACCACGTCCTGCTCCATACAGACAACATGTCTGTGGTGGCCTACATAAATCGCCAGGGCGGCATCAGGTCAGGCAACCTGTATGCTATGGCGAGGGACCTCCTCATGTGGGCACAGGCCAATCTGAGCTCTCTGAGAGCAGCGCATATCCCGGGCGTCCAGAATGTGGGCGCGGATATGCTCTCACGGGGCAACAATCCCCTAGGCGAGTGGTCCCTGAACCCTCAGACGGTCAGTCTAATATGGGAGATGTTTGGCGAGGCCGAAGTCGACCTTTTCGCCTCGAGAGCCAACACCCACTGCAGGGTGTTCTTCTCGAAAAACAGGGACGCGCTGGCTCATCTCTGGCCCAGCCGCCCCCTTTACGCTTTTCCCCCCGTGTCGATGATCCCACAAGTTATCGAGCGGGTCAGGGAGAGCGGATGCCCAGTCCTTCTGGTGGCTCCTCTCTGGAAATCCAGACCATGGTTTCCGGAACTGGTTCAGTTGTCAGACACGATCCCCTGGCCTGTTCCGATGAGGGAGGATCTCCTCACACAGGCCAACGGAACGATATGGCATCCCCGACCCGATTTATGGGCCCTCCATTTGTGGCCCCTAAACGGGTACCCGGGGACATTCCTGACAGGGTCTTAAGCACTATCTCTGAAGCAAGGGCCCCGTCTACTCAGCGCCTTTATGCTTTAAAGTGGTCGTGTTTTTCCAGCTGGTGCTCGAGAAATCGTATTGACCCAGAGTCATGTGAGGTTTCTGTGGTGCTCTCCTTCCTGCAGGAGCTACTGGACGCGGGCCGCACCCCGTCCACGCTCAAAGTGTACGTGGCAGCCATCGCAGCGCATCATGCTTTGGTGGCTGGCCAATCACTAGGAAGGAATGACCTGGTGGTAAAGTTTCTGAAAGGTGCTAGGAGGATTAACCCCTCCAGGCCCCCTTCGGTGCCGCCTTGGGACCTCTCCATGGTCCTTAGGGCCCTGAAGGGACCACCTTTTGAGCCGCTCCAGTCGGTTGATCTAAAACCACTTTCGCTAAAGACTGCTCTCCTGTTGGCATTGGCATCTATCAAGCGAGTGGGAGATCTGCAGGCCCTCTCTGTGAGTCCTGCATGTTTGGAGTTTGGAACGGATGACTCCAGAGTCATTCTCAAACCCAGGCATGGTTACATACCCAAGGTGCTCTCAACGCCGTTTAGAGCACAAGTTATTACGCTGTTAGCCCTTCCCCCTTCTGCCAAGGATGGGGAGGTTAATCTTCTCTGCCCTGTCAGGGCGTTGAGAATCTATCTGGAGCGTTCTGCGTCTTTTAGACAGTCAGAACAGCTGTTTGTCTGCTTTGGTGGTCGATCTAAGGGTGATCCAGTCACTAAGCAAAGACTGTCTAGATGGATAGTGGATGCCATTTCTTTGGCCTTGTCACGGTTTATGAATCGGCTGTCTCACGCTGATGTGTCTGCGTGAGTGTATTGTGTGGGTGTGGTTACTCGTTGTGCTGATTAGTGTCACCAGCTGTCATCCATTTCAGTTCCCTTTATATACCCAGCAATTCTCTCCCTTGTTGTCAGATCGTTGTGGTTGTTCCCCGGTGTGTTTCCTGTGCTCGTGCCTCGTCTGCTGTTCCTAGTCTGGAGTTCGTCTGTTCCTCGTGTCGTCTGGATGTTCGTCAGTTCGTCGTGTCATCTGGATGTTCACTTCCCCCGGGATTCACTCGAGCACTTCATCACCTGTTTTCCACCGGATCGCCATCTCGTCCCTGCTTCACTGTCCATCTGAGTGTTGTCCCCGACTTGTGCCTTCTTCATTGTTTATTCAATATTATCCATTAAACTGAGTTTACTTGCATACTGCATCCTGCTGTTATTTCCTCACAGAACGATCTGACCAACCATGGATGCAGCAAGTTCATCACAGCTCAACGACTTCATCGCTCACAGTATCTCACGTATGGACCAACAAGCAGAGAGCATCTCGGG